GATGGCTTTAACAAAGAGAAGTTTATTCTCTCACAGTCCAGTAGGCTACAAGTCCAAATTCAGGGCGTCAGCTCCAGGAGAAGGCTTTCTCTGTCGGCTCTAGAGGAAGGTCCTTGTCATCAGTCTTCCCCTCGGCTAGGAGCTTCTCTGTGCAGGAATCTCAGGTCCAAAGGACACGCTCTGCTCCCAGTGCTGCTTTCTTGGTGGTCTGAGGTTCCCGTGTCTCTCTGCTCACTTCTCTCTTTTATATTGCAAAAGAGATCGGCTCAAGACACAGTCCAATCCTGTAGATTGAGTCCTGCCTCATTAACATCGCCGCTGCCTATCCCACATCATAGAGGTGGGATTTACAACACATGGGAAAACCACATCAGTTGGCAAAATGGTGAACAATCACACAATACTGGAATCATGGCCTAGCCAAGTTGATAGACATATTTTTGGGGGACACAATTCAGTCTGTAACAGGTTGGGTCCGTCACCAAGAACATTCTCTGAAGTACACACCTGAGAGCCTCAGCCACTGTAAATTGAAGTTAGACATCCTTCAGGGCAGTTTACATTCACATGCGTGTTTGTCATCTAACACAGATGTAGGCCTTGTTCCAGCTCTGCCCGTCTGATTCCGGCAAACCACTTAGATGTCTCCGGACCTCAGTTTCCTCATCTTTAAAACTGTGTTGGGCTCAAACAGCTGGAGGGACCTTCCAAGCTCAGCTATCCTTTGATTCTGTGACTTTGGGCCCCCACTGGGGGTTCTCTTGCTGTCTTCCTGCTCTAGTTCTCCTTCTCTTCCTCCCTGACTAGTGGGCTTGTCCTCCTGCCTGCTGTAGCATTACACACATAGATACACTGTGTTCTCCGGCACTTGGCTTTGACCTAGAGGTTTGCTCCAGCATGGAGAGCTGAGAGGCAGTTTTCTTGTGTCGCTTGGAACAGTGCCTAACGCTTCCCCTTCACTGGCGTGCACAGATCCCTTCCACAAAGAGCTTGTGATTCCCTCGCTTTTAGGAGGCACATTCCTGACTGACTGTGGTTGCAAAAGCAGAGTGACGTTGCAGTGAGCACAGAAAGAGCCTTGTGTCAGAGCAGCGAGGTTTCTGAGCTGCAGTGGGCAACAGAGTTGGGACTGCAATTGTGACATATAGGTGTGTAGGGAGTGGGTAGGTATGTAATCCGTTATCCACATCACCCAAATTAAGTGGGCACGGTTTTAGAGTGAGGAAGGCAGCACATCATAGTACCCCACAGCTTCTGGATTATGTTGTTATAATTTTTTGAACAACAAAAAAGAAACCAAGTATGTAGCCATCCGTTCGATTTCTACTCAAGGCAATCCCATGTCTTACAGAATATAACTGAGCTCCACAGGTAGGGTTTTCTTGGCTGTAATCTTTATGGAAGCGGATCACCAGGCCTTTCTTCCGCAGTGCTGCTGGGTAGATTAGTGCTGAGGACTTTTTGGCTCGTAGTCAATCACAAACCACTTGCATCACCCGGGGACCTACCTTTTCTTTAACCGAGGGCAAAACGATTAAGTTACTTTGTGTTTCCTGTATAATTTGTGGACACAGCATTTGAAGCAATTGTTTCATGAAGATGTGCCTGTATTTTGTGAGATAAACTAGAATATCCTGATTTGATTTGCTTGAATTCTAATTTTATTATTAGATGCAAAAGGACTAATCAGGTACAAAATGTTTTTGATGAGATCATGCATTGGAAGTGTTTCTGTAAACACAGTTTTCCGGTGAGATGGGAAAAGCAGGGTTGGGCTGTTAGAAGAAAGCAATTTAAAGAGTTGGGAAGGAGGGTGAGAAAACGTGCCCGGTGAAACTGGGCAGAGAAACAGCAAACTCTGAAGGCCAAGAGGTGACATTTCTTTGTCTGGGCAGAATGACAGGCATGGGGGGCTGCTGCGTGGACACCCAGCTCTGAATTTCTGGGGCTGCAGTCCCAGGAATTGTGTGCCGTTGATTCTGAGTCATAGCGACCCTCTAGGACGGACCAGAACTGCCCCATAGAGTTTCCAAGGCTGAAATCTTTACCGAGGCAGATCGCCAGGTCTTTCTCCCGCGGAGCAGCTGGTGGTTTGGAAGCCCCGACTCTCCCAGGAGAACACGGGAGAAACCCTGACAAACAGGGCGGAGGCGGGAGGGCTGCGTGGCCCCCGCGCCGGCCGGTTCCGACAGGCTAAAGGCCATCATCACCTGCAGCTGAAGGGCGACCCAGCTGGGAAGTAGGAAGTGCCGCGCCTGAGCTTCCTGTCCCAGTAGGCGCGCGGCTGGGGCGGGCGCTGCGGGCTGGAGCCCTGCCGCGCTCGGCCAGGCTGGGGCGTCGCGCGCGGCTGCTCCTGCGGCCGGTCGTCGGCCGGCACGGGTGCTGGGGGCCCTGCGGTGTCAGGCTCTCAGCGCAGAGCACGCAGGAGGAGGAGGCAGACGATGAGACAGTTCTCCCTCCTGGGAGCAGGAGCAGCGGGAGCCAGCCTGGAGGGAGGCGAGTGAGACGCCCAGAGCTGGGAGCCACCGAGCTCCCCTGCCGAGGTAGGTGTAGGAGCTTTCTCAGTGCTGCAGGCTTGAAAGGCAGGAGTGGTGCTTAACTAAGAAAAGAGAAAAAGGCTGAAGACAGTGAACTGTGTGACACCTTGGTTTTCAAGCCTTCTTTTATGCCTCCACTGCTTAAACCTTCCCGAACTGAGTGAATGCTGAATGCCTTAAACACCTGTTAACTTTTTAAAATAGGTGTTTTCTTAAAGGTTAAAAAAAAAAAAAAAAGTTTAATTTGTAGTCAGACAGGAGCCCTGGTGGTGCCAGTAATTAGAAGCTCGGCTGCTAAGCAAAAGGTCAGCAGTTCGACTCCACCAGCCGCTCCTTGGAAACTCTATGGGGCAGTTCTACTCTGTCCTGTAGGGTCGCTAGGAATCGACTGGATGGCAATGGGGTTTTTTCTTTTTTTTTATTGGTTTGGTAATCATTCTCTACAGAATGTGTCATAAAATTTAAGATTAAGATTAAAAGCTTCCTGTGTTTTAAGAGGAGACCAGAAGTTGACACATTCTTGGATGTTTACCCTCTGTTATTTGGAATTGCATGCCAATATGTTGACATACAGAGCTATGAATAAGATGTTATACTAACCGTGGGATCATGGCCATATCATTATGGTATTATTTTATCAGATAATTGCTCATAAAACAGACTGAAACTCTGATCGTGTACTGCAGTTCTCAAGTTAAAATAAAACTGCTTACAAGCTTCCTGTTTCACACGGAAAAGGTGTCTTTTGCTCAGCCGTTCAGAGCACCCTTTGCTTTTCTCACTAGTTGCAGGGATTCTGCCGATTGTCTACTCCTGATGCACAGATTCCCACGTTCTCAGAAGTCAATCCCCCTTTCTGTGAAAATGCTCCCTTTCTTGGTGCTTCTACCATCGTCTCTCACTGTCTTACTTCTTTCTGCCACGCAGATCAAAACGTTAGCTGAGCCCCCTAATGGGCTTCTCAGTATTCTTCTCCTTTGGCATTTCTGGGTGTTTATTGAAACACCGAGGTGCGCATTAAAGGACATCACCAACATTCTTGAAACAGCAGATTGGGGTGTCTAGGTCCCCGAGCAAAGGGAACTGAACTTTGAAATGACTCAGTTCTTAGGGTGTGGGTAAGAGGCAGAAGGAACGCAGCCAGTCCTAACTGAGTAGCTGGCTAACTGGAGTCTCTGGCTGCTGCAGAAATTTCACTAAAACAAGCCTCCTTGTCCCTGGTCCCTTTCCGCATCTCATTCCTCTGCTGGTTCCTCTTTCTTCTTCCTCTGCCCCTTCCTTCCCAACTCTGGTTCTTTCCATGGGTGGCATTCCCTTAAGTTATTTCTAAAACTGTCTTGAGAAGGAGGAGAGGGGGAGGAGGAAGAGAAACCTGTAGCAGATCCACAAAGCGATGTGGAGGTAATTAGGAAATTCAGAACCACTGTTCCCCACCAGCCCTGCCCTGCCCTGCCCTTACACACCTCTGACTGGCATCTTCGTCTTTGTGGTGGGCACACCAATTTAGAAAAATAATGACGTGCAGGAAGAGAAGAAATTCTTTCAAAAGTCTGAGTAACTGAAACCGTCCTGATGAGTAAACAAATCCAAGGTAAATCTGTATAGTGAATGTAAAAAAGATGTCAAATAGCAGAATCAGGTTATTATTTTTTTTAATTTAAGACAAACAAAAACACTCAACCAAAAAACCTCGTAGCAATCACCCTAGATAACTATTGTGCTGGAAGTGAGGGTTTGAATGTGGTCAAACCCGGTCCATTTACCCAGCGCTTTACAAATATTTACAGCCGTCTGTGCCAGATATCTTTGTGCTGACCCGAGAGAACATTCTCCACATTCAAAAGCCCTGTTCTCATGAATGGCTTTAGTTCACTGGCGATTTAAAGGCATCCAGGCTTCCAAACTAGGTCAACTTAAGAAATATTTTTTTTAAATATTCAGTTTTTGGGTTTCAAATTATGAACCAGGTTTTAGGGGCCAAACTGGACAGCAGAGAGAAAAGTATGCTCTCTGCTCTCTCTGGAAAAAAAAAAAGCTTGTGTTATCTATATAGTAAGACCTCTATGAGTCGGAACGGACTCGATGGCAATGGGACTTTTTTTTGGTTTTAAGACCGTTTAGCTTTCTGGAAAATATGTTTCTCAATAATATGAATACTTTTCAGCTGAGAAAGTATAGTGAATCTTTACTTCTTGAAAAGTGGTTTCAGTACTTGAGATGCTTAGAAACATTTCTCTGTAGTGTTTCTGCTAATCCTGATTTCTGTGTTACCTGTGGCCTTGACTCATGACATTACTTTCTTGTTCAGTGAGGCCCTTGATGTTTGAAATCTGCAGTTTGAGGTAGAGGTCAGGAATCATGCTGAACCCAGATGTTGGTGGATGAACAAAGTCCGAACAGTTTTGGGACTAAACCGACTTTGTACGACTGATTATTTTGGATATGGAAAGGGGCCAAGCTGCCGCAGAAGTCACGTTTCCACTTTGCACTTCAGGGAGTAAGTGTCTTACAGACACTGCTTCCAAGTATGTTAGGCATTTTTTAGGCTCGCCTGTGGGGTCGCTATGAGTAGGAATCGACTCAAGGGTAGTAGGTATGTTTGTTTTTATAGACTCACTGCTATGAGTCAAAATCAACTTGTCGGCAGTGGTTTTTTTGTTTTTTGTTCTTGTTTTTCGGCCTTAATTTATAGAAACTCCTTTGTCAGCCACAGCAGATCATCAGTATCACTTCTGAGTCACTGGAAGGGAATAGAGACAAGAACCATGTCCGTAATATTTTCTCTCCTCCGTGTACGTTCAGAAAAGTTATTCGCTGTACTGTTGGGTGACTACTATTTGCTAGACAAATGGTTAATCCTCTCGGCTGCTCACAGAACGATTAGAGGTTCAAGTCTGCACACCGGCACCTCAGAAGAAAGGCCTGGTGATCTACTTCCAAAAAATTAGTCATCGAACACCTTATGGAGCACAGTTCTACCCCAGCACACACGGAGCTGCCATGAGTCGGAGTGGGCTTGGCAGCAGTTGGTGGCTGGTTGCCCCAGATGCCAAGGAAAGAAAGATGTGTAAGATGTGCTTCTGTCCTGAAGGAATTCACTGAAGCTTGGAAGTGGCTTTGGACTAGAATGGTAATCCTCCATCTATGTTGTTTTACCAGAGTGTGAAAAATATCATCTTGATCTATGTTTTTTTGGGGGTCATGTTTCGCTGATGTCAGCTAAGCATCAAGTAACTTTGAAAAGCCGCAACAACACCCAAGTTATGGTGGTTTTTTTGCATCTTTAGGTGTATGTGGAAGGTCTTGGACTAGCTTTTTTTTTTTTTAAGCTTTGTCCATTTTGTATTTACTTGGTCAATGAGTACTTCTAAGCACAGTGCATCATACTGTAGTACTTATTAAAAAGGGACAAAAATTGACTGAGGTGTAACTGATTCTGCAGCATGGAATGCTACTCTATGATCGGATGCCTTTCTTCAATGAAAAAGCAACTACTGAAGTGAAATACGCTTCTCTTACTCATAGAGATGCTTCTGATCACATGGCTTGTGGTATCTGTTAACGTATTTTGAAAGCCGTATCTGGTCAGTCTCTAATTTCTCTGCAGTCATGAGTTTGGTTCTTTGTCTCTTTTGGGAAGATATAACAAGACACCTCAGTTCTTTCTTTTCTGATCTTGCAGCTGAAGCTATACACCCACAAATTGCCCTGCGTGTGATTCTGTGAAACCACCTGTTGACACCCTCCTCAGCTTGTCTCCCCTTTATAGTGAGGGACAGGGTTTAATCCTGTTTACAGCCTTACCACCTCGCGTGTGTAGATTAGGTACTTTGTGGGCTGACTTTGTGTCTTGCATTATGGATTCCTGTTGTAAGAAATCGATTTGGCAAAGACATACACAAATGGGCACCCTGCACCTCACTTAGCGTAGGATCCAGGAGACTGCTCTTCCTAGCTGGTTTTAAATCTGTTTCTAATTACAATTTCTGTGTGACACTTTTAACTTTCACAGGAAGTGGTAATATTTACACGTTTGTAGTCGTTTGGAGAAGGAAATGGAGTCAGGTATTTGTGTTTTAGTGACTGTAGTCTCCTGATAATGTCATGACCCAGGAAATATCCCGACTCTTGTTCTAAGTGGCTTCTCCTTGATTTAATGACATCGTTCCTGACCTGCTTCTGAGCTTTGTTGTGATGCCAGGCCGGGGGAAGAAAATTATTCGGCAGGGCTGTATGAATAATTGTGGGAGGCAGGGAAACCACTGATTAAAAGCCGGGTGAGCAGGCACATAGGGGAGCTGTTGAGGAGGGAGCTGGCGTGATGAATGTGAGATTACCATGCCAGAAACATCATCATCGAACTATTATTCACATAGTCACTCCTACCTTCCTGGATAAGTTTATACAGTATTGTTGGGAAAGCTGGGAAGGGATTTCCACCTCTTGAGTCTTACCTTGTAGTAGTAATGGGAACATGGAAAGAAGGCAAGAAAAAAAAAAATCTCCTTTCTAGGAAAAGAAATAGCATTTTGCAAGTGTTAAAGCTTGACATGCTAGGTGATTTTTTTTTCTAAATTTAATGTAAAATTGTGTTAGTACGAACTGTATAACTGTATATATGCGCTATAGGGTTTAGAATTAGCTTATCACAATGCCATGTACTTTGCTGGCCATGCTCTCGTTTCTCCCCCAGTGTGTACTTTGTGTCCCTAAGTGTGCAGACAGTTAATGCACTTAGTTGCTAACCGGAAGGTTGGAGATGCAAGTCCACCCAGAGGCACCTTGGAAGCAAGGCCTGGTGATCTACTTCCATAAGATTACACCCATTGAAAACCCTACAGAGCACAGTTCTACTCTGACACACATGAGGTGGCCATGAGTTGGAATTGACCTGACAACAACTGGTATATAGCTTGTAGGAAAAAAATAAGATAAAAATGAGATTTTATTAAAATAGTTGTGACAGACTTTATTGATAACCTAATTTCAGTTAGCAAAGAGACTGT